CGGTGGTAAGAGTGTTTAGTTTTAATGAGACATGACCGCAATCTTGAATAGTTTGAGTGAGAGATACTGCACATTTATTAGCATCTTCTTTGGTGTTTATCTGGGTAATGGTGTCTAAGAGGGAACGAGTTTTAGATTCAAGAGATTTAATTTTTTCTCTCCATTGCTGTTGATTCGAAAACGTTTGACCTGTGTGGTTTTGATGTGCATATTAATTTTTAATGTGTTGATGATCTGATATTGATACATCTATAGTGATTTTCTGGTTTCTGATGTTTTGGGTGAGGTGACGAGTACTTAGTGAGGTCTGGCCAGCCTTTTCCGTTGATTGTGTAATAAGTGTGGGGGGTGTTCTGGGTCATTGTGGAAAATGAGCTTATTTGAAAAGATGGAAGTCTTCCATCTCCGTGCCTCTTGGAGTCGTATATGGATAAGCTCCAACTGCTGCTTTGTGCATTGAAATCCCCATTTATCACGTGGGGGGTATTAGAGGTGTGGAGGATTTCTTGAATTACTTGAGTGTCATTAAGGTCTTCAGAAGTGAGGCATAGGCGCTAGTTAGGTATAGTTGAGCATTTGTAGTGGTGACTGAGATGGTAACAATGTCGCGATGAGATTTTATAACTATTGGTGTCCATGATTTGTTGATTACAATAATAGCTGCTCTGGGAGATTGTTGACGGTTGGGGTCTTCCCAGCAGATGACATTCCATGAAAGCAGCAGATTACGAGGGCAACCTTGATTACAGTACGGTTCTTGTACAAATACAATAGTATTCTGAGATATGTTGAATTAAATTATCTGTTGCAGTTTTTGTGCGCTGGACGTTGATATACAATAATTTGATAGTGCTGTTATAATTAGAGTGGTAGAGGATTGTAGAAGGCTCGACTACGATATTTGTTTCATTGCCTAGACTACTACTTGCTGTATTGCATTCGATTTTTGATTCTCTTGACTATGTTCATTTTGTTTGTTGCTGCGTTCACATTTTGTGAATGAGGACTGTTAGATGGACATTCATTCTGTCGATGTCTGCGACCACAATATGCACAGTGTGAGTAAAAGGTACAGTCTCTGGAATGATGCCTAAAATCTTGGCAGTTGTAACATTTATGTGCACCAGCGAATTCTGAGATTGAACTAGTAGGCCATCCAGAAAGAGTTCAGGTTGATATGAAATGATCCATTTAATCGTGTTAAATTTAATTTTGAATAGAGGTTGAAAATTGGTTATGTCACTGTTTGTTTGTTTTGGCTAATGTAGCACATACCATTTCTGCTGTTGTATTTTGTGGAAGTTCGTGAATTGTGCATTTAGGAGTCCTTGGTTTTGGTATTCTTGTGTAAATTAGGTTGCTGCTGTGCTCTGTATTGTTAATCTTGCTGTTCATTTACATCATTCTTTGAACTGCAGTATACTGCTAGCCCACCTTGTTTAATCAGTATGATTTCTCTTTATTTGGTTCTAAACATTTTCAATAGCTAGAATGTCTGGTAACTTTTCTTGAAGTTTTGAGATATTTCTGGCATCATTTGCATAAATCAAGAGTATGCACCAAATAATTGCTCAGTTGCCTTTTTTTTTTTTTTTTTTTTTTTTGTTGTTGTTGCAAGACTTGTGCACATGAAGCCTTGTTAGTAGATGGTGCTGAGATGTCATAATTCTTGGTGTAAGCAATTATTCGGTGCATTGTCTTTGAAATAGACGATATCAGAGTGCTGATGATTTAACTGCAGAGGTGCAAGATTTATAGGTGATGCTGAAGCATCGTTCAGTAGAATAGCTGCTGGTTCAGTTGCAGTATCTTGAAGTTTGGGTGTTTGTACTGTTAGTTTGCTTGAGCACACACCTAAAGCAGTCCTTTAGGAATTCAATGATTGATTTAATTTTAATTTTGTTGTAAAGTTCTTTTGATAGGTACCTTTTGTGCTTATTGTCACTCTTTAACAGTCTTTGTCTTAAGTATCTTGGATACTCATTTGTCTTTCGTCAACTGTATCTTAGTATTAATTTGATAAAGGATATTGGAATTATATAAGAATGAGAGACTGTACGATCTCGACATATCATAGTAATATAAGTGTGAATGTAAAAATGGTAACGAATTGAAGTACAATAAAAATTAAAATAAGGATTTAAATTTAGTTTTTTTTTCCTTCTCTATTACAATATATAATAATATAAAAGTTTCAGTATTGACAGCTATATGTTATTATATGGTAAAGTATTGTTAGAAATTCTTAACTTACAAATACCAGAATTCAAATGTAAATAACATTTGAGTGGCTTGTCCCACAGTTTTCGAACTTATCCCAAACGGTTTCCTCGAGGGCTTTAATTTAATATAAAATATACCACTTAATGTCACCTTTTACGCAGTCCGCAGTAATCCTTTAAGAGCACCATAAAAACACGTCTCACAACTTTAAAGTCTAGGAAAGAACTAGTAACTCTAGTTGGGGATAAGTAATATGTTCACGATGTACCAAGAAACAGAAGCGCTTCTTGAGCACTTTCTTCGAGTGGCATTAACAAATAGTCTGTTAAAGGGAGGATAATAAGTTAGCAAGGCCCAGCGATGCCTAATGTACCTATGGAAAGGTACAGGTCCTGGGCCTTGCTTGAACCTATCCGTTAATGCAGGCTTTATAGGTTAACTATAAAAATACTATACATACATTTTCTAATTCTCTCTAACACTTCATTTTAGATTTTACAACCTCATTTATTTGATATTTACTAATTTTAGACATCTCCTAAGTTTGTTCAAATTAATTCTACCAATGGCCAAAGCTGGTTAAAGCTAAGAAATCCTGATAAGATCACTTACCTTCCCACCAGATAAATGAGTCAATTGACTGCATTAGATTTTATTCATATGTAATATATATATGCAAGGGATAAATTCTAAATCCATGGAAACATCTTTCGTCATGGGCAGATAAATCCCAAGTACTTTCCCATAATCAGATAATCTATTCCAATATATATATGTAAGATAAAAATGTATGAATCAGAATTATAATATAACTATAAACATTAATTCTTCCTCTCTATTCTAAAATCGTAATAACTTATCTGCATTGCGTCATTCAAATTAATCATGCGATCTTATGTAACCGTTAATACCAGATGCCTCTTGACGACCAATCACTGAATTGTAAACCAAAACTTTTCTCTTTGCGTGCTTCCATCTTTCATAACGACGCACTTCAGCTTTTGCTCTCTACTGTGCTAAGATGTAATTTCGCTGGCTTGCTTGCTATCCCAACAATATCAAAAATGTAAATCTTCTGTGGAAAGGCACGACTAGAGTGCCAAGTGATTGTGGCCACAAATATCAATTGGAAATAAAAATGGAATTAAAACTGCCTTGACTGCCAAGTTCTTTAAATACTACGCAATCAAAATTCTTCTTCAATATGGATATAATCACGCATCTACAGTGTTCCGTCATTTCCTTTTGCTTATGTCATATATATATATATATATAATAAAGGTATAGAATTCACATCCATTCTTACTATTCACTCACTCACTCAAATATCACTTCTTGTGATACAGATTAGTGACAATGGATATAATAAGAACTATTTTTTGGAGCTTTATCCTCTCCCTACACCCCCTAAATATAACACGGCTTCCACATGTATCTGTCAATGTATTACAGTTTAGCAACATTTCTCTCAATTCTCTTCAATGCATGCTCATTCAGCAACATTTCTGTCATCTACCTATGCTTCGTTCGTTGCTCTAAAACATTACAACCATTTGCAAGATTCAAGGCTATTTCTCAACACTTGCTAAGTGCTTAGATTTTACTTTAAGGCAGCATTTGCAGTCTTAACCCCTTGGGTACGGATTTATTTGAGAAAATATTTTCCTGTGGAACGGATATTAGGTAATCCACTATATTTCTAATCTTTCTTACTCTGTCATCTTTATTTTCCTTTTCATTATCCATAAAATGTAGAAAGCCTGAAATATCAAAAAAACCTATCGCGTGGCATAGCGCTGGCAAAAATTGGAGTACTTATTGCATATCTTTTTGACCAATGCATATGCATTTTTGGCTTCTTCATTTGTGACATCAAGATGCATATTGCAATATAAGCTTTCATTTCATCAGAACGTTGTTTTTTTTTTTTTTTTTTTTTTTTTTTTTTTTTTTGGTACACAACCTTATTTTTCTGTCTGGCATATCTATTCGTCTCTTCTACTAGTGTCCCAAAAATCTTCATTCAAGACTGCTTTCAAAACATCTAAAGGCGTAGGATTACCACCTAGTCTACGCAGGCTCAAAGCATTAATTCCAGATACATTCAGAAAAACCTTTTATATTGGCTACATTTTCTTCTTCTTCCCAAATCCATTCCTCTGATACTGGTTCATGAGAAGATTCACTATCACTGCTCGATAGACGTCTTTTCCATCTTCAAAACCTTGATATTATATTACAATTGTCATCATTTTCTAGTTCAATATCGTCTTCATCATCTTCGCTTTGTATTTCTATGCAATTGTCAATTTCAGAATCACTAAACAATTCTTTAGATTTCTCAAAGTCACTTTCGCTATCACAAAATATATTCCTTGTTTTTGACATAATGGGGCAGTGTATCGCAAATAATGTTGACCAAAATACTGTAATTGCCTCTTCTATTATGACCGATACAAGCTACAATGAAATGAACATAATTGTGCCTAACCTCAAATAACGTTTTAGACACGTCATCCACTCCTAGGGAAAACAAGTGAATGACGTCTCTCAGACGTCAAATGTACCCAAGAGTTTAATTTTTGGTTTGACGTCTTAGACACGTCATCCGCTCCTAGGGAAAAAAAGTGAATGACGTGTCTCATACGTCAAATGTACCCAAGGGGTCAGTCAATTTGAAATCAATTCCTCAAAGTATTTTTAAAAGCTCTTCAAATTTTGTTATATTGATAACGTTTGAAGATGTATGCACAATTTTGAAAGAAAAATTCTCTCCATATGTTTTTGTAACATTTATTTCACCACAAATATATAACAGTTATAAACTTCGTTAAAAATACAAATGACATAATTTTATAAAAATGAAATAAGAAAGATTAAAAATATCATGGCCTTGGAGCAGTAATTCACTTTTTTTTGTGTGTGCGTGTGAAGGAAAAAGATTAATATTTAGTTTCTTTACTGGATGTTTTACTCTTTGCAATGATGTAGATATTTTATTTTTGCCAACCACTGAGAAGCTCTTCAAAATCTGATGTATTGCTCAATTTAAAGGTTTATTCAAAAACATTTGTAACATTTATTTCACCACACATATACAACAATTATAAACTCTGTTAAAAATACAAATGAAATAAAAGACATTAAAAAAAATCTTGGCCTTGGAACAGCAGATCATTTAGACTTTTTTAAGTAAAAGAACTGATGAATATTTGGTTTCTTGACTGAATGCTTCATTTTCTGCAGTGGAGTTGACACTTTATTTCTGCCACTCCAGTGAGAAAATTTATTCTAAGGAGAAAAAAATTATATTATATAACATATTCTAAAATTATGATTACTGAGTTTCATAACATTTAAAAATGTAAAATAATACACTGGAACTTTCTTAAGATAGCAACCCATCTTTTCAAATGATATAGTTCTTCAGTGCATGTGGATCCACGAAAGTGAAAACTAACTTTAAAATTTATTTCAGACTTATATTATTAGATCTGGATTTTATCCAGAGTTAGCACTGCAATATTACTGATTTAAACATTTTTTACACATTATATACATGGACCTGCAGCAAAACAGGTCAGTGTTACAAATCTGAAAATGCACATGTAAAGAATTTTTTAAAATTAACCATTAATTGTAATCACTTAATTACAAACTTAAAAATCCATGTAAATTATATGCATATTTATTTAGAAACTTTCATTTTACTCCTCAAGAAGAAATATCTTTGAATTCTAGTAATATAGTATTGAAGCAAATATTTAAAATCAGTAATAATCATATAGGAAAATTTTAATCTTTAAGTCATACCTCTTTACAAGGTTTCTGATTTCCGCAGGGAGATAAAATTGTAAAAAAATTACATTTTAGATACTCAAGAATAATACATATAGTTATCAAAAAAATATTTATATCTATTTATAAATTATGAATGCAAATTTTAATATGTAGCACGCTTACATTCTAAATTACAGAATGCCTTTTTAATAACACAGTTCTTCATTTGCCAGCATATTTATCTTTCAGTCAGAACTGCTTCAAGAGTTTTCATATCTAAACTTGGTCAAAATTCCGTCCCCCCCCCTTTTTTTTTTACAATATGAGAAAAAATTCTTTTGCAAGCTGCATTCGAATGAGGCATTTTTAAAGCAGTAAGCACTACAACAGGCAATGCTTTGTATTAAATGCACTCATTCATATCTTTTAATTTTGCTATTTTTCCCCATGCTATTACATAAATCTGCAATTTTTTCCCATGCTATTACCTAAATCTTCAACTTCTTTCAAATTATCTACTTGATATATAGAAAACTAAATTTGCACTTGATTTTGATTAAGATATTTTCATCAATAATGGATAGGAAAGTATTCACCAACAAAGCACTATGCACAAGTATTGTTCATATGAATAACCAGCATTTGCAGTACATGGCATCACAATGGTAAATCTTGTTTATGGGATGCAAACTGACTCCCCTCAAGACTTTGTCACCAGAAACAGTGTCACTCCTGCAGAAGAACAAGACATGCACTTCATAATTGTGATCCATGTATTAAAGCTAGTGGTCATTCATATTGAACAAATTTATAAATACCACTGATTAAAGCAACTTTTTGTTCCTATAAAAGGATAATGTTCACTCAAACAACATGCTGCGGAAAATTTTCTCATATTGTAAGGAAAATTACCAAGTGTCAATAATCACTAGAAGTTTCACAAAATTGGAAGAAGTGATTGATATTTTCTTGAAGTTTTGAGAAAGATGTAATACTTGATCACCCCCCCTTTTATGCTGAATTTAGTTCAGTTATTCTAGGATATAATTTGCAACCTTACAACAATATATCCACACACATGAGAAAAATGTTAAAATAATGAGGGAAGGGTTGCTTATTTTAACAGAAAAGACAGACATTGCAAGAGAGAAAGCTTCAGTCCTGTAAAATAGCATAGAATATCACATTTCATCACCTTAAATTTTCAGACTGTTTCACATTGGTGTTTTATTAAAAAGTGACATCACAACTTGCATAAAGGTATCTGCACACTTCATGCAAAGTCAGTTCCTGTTTGTAAAGACAGACCTTCATCATGTACAAACATCCTTATGCAGATCAGTTTCTAATTTGAAAAAAGCAACCTTTACACAAATACAGGCACCTTTAATGCCATATCCTTGTTAGAAAATAGTCTTTTTGAATAGTGGCTAATTTGTACAAAGCAACAGTTCTCAATATTTCGAGTAATGCATACCATCTAAACAAAAATTGAAAAAACTTATTCAATTTCTCAACAGAAATATTAAAATATATTACATGTACATCTATTTTGGAATTTGCACAATCTAGTGGCTATTTGTATTAAATATACACACATAAAATAGATTAAAAACTGTCATTTTAATTGTCAAAATTTAAGTTATAATATTTTAATTATAATAATTTAGATTTACCCTTTAAATTGGCTTGCTTAGATTTAAAATGTCTTAAGAAATGAAGGTTTCATACTTTAATTGGATAACAGTTCACCACAAAAAACACACATTGAGGGTCCATTTCATCTCTATTCCAAGTAAACTCAAATGATAAATAACTTTCATTATATTTCGTATAAAATTGCTTTTTTCTTTTTCTTTTCAATATTCTTAGTACTAGTAGATAGATTGTCCTGGATCCATCATCTGTGAAAGATAATTTTTTTTGCTTAGTCAAGCCTAGCCATTTTTCCATTTTCAAAATCTAGGTTTGTTTCCTTATTTTTTCACAAACATTTAAATGCACAACATACTGAGAGTTCTTCAAACACAAAGGATAATCTCAAATTGCATAGAAAAGTAAGGAATACAAAGCAACAAGAAGACAAAATATTTGCTGTTAGAGATTGCAAATCAACTTAAAAAAATTATTTTAATTGAAAATGAAGCAATTGGGGGGGTTACGATTTACGCATAAACATTTGATTTCCCCCCCTCTGCGCGTAATAAAATGTGGAGAGCCCCAATTCTTAATTTCACTTTACTAAATAAAATACCTAGTTATTCATGAGATTGGCTAACAATCATTTTAGCATAAATTTGTAGGATCAATAATTTGGCTTCGTTGCTGCGTATCTGCTTGGTTATACATCTTAAATCGAAACATTTCGCATAGATACACCATTGACTTACACCTACTAATATTTCACATCCCTGACAATAACCTGGTTAATTATTATTTATTATATTTTGCTTTCATCACATGACAACTTGAGTAATGACTCATGTAGCAATGCTTAAACAATTTTTTTATGTAATTGAATAATAAAGAGTATGGTAACCTTTTATGTTGACATTATGCTCGGCGAGTTGTTAAATTAAATAAATGTGCTAAGAAATGTTGATGAGAAAATATTTAACAAAAAATTCTGTCCATATGCTAAAAATAGATTTTGTTAATGATACTTATAGGCCAAAAGATTGCAATTAGTGCTATTTGAATTAAGAATAACTGATCTGATATTCACATAAACCCAGAAACAGCACCAGGGCTTGTATAGCCACAATGGGCGGCAGAACTTAGGGAAGACAAAGGGAAGTGCTTGGTAGGAGAATTTATGAACCACAGAGACAGCATCAGGCTCTAGTGCCAGCCCTCAATAAGCCTTAAATATATGTAGGAATTTACTTATTCAGGACACAGATAAGACTTAAGCCTGTGCAAGAAATAAACACAAGTATAATAAACTAAACTAATACATTTCAGGCTTAACTGCCTCAGCGTGAGATAGACGCAAGATAAAAAGTAGAATTTTCAAAGAGATAACAATGCTCCTCAATTATCAATCAAAAATCTGTAGTATGGTTCTAGAACCAGAAAATACTGCTACCAATAGTGAAAGATAGGTTACTGGGCGAGGGAGCGATTGACAAGTTAGGACCTTCATCAATGTAACCGAACAAGAAATTATGAGTACAATTATGAGAAATCTACAAAATTAAAGAGAAAGTGAAAAATGAAAATGAAGCAACTTAAACAACTGATATCGAAATAAATCTTTAATAAAGTAAACAAATAAATATTAAACTTTTTTGAACAACTTAATAGTTATTTAATTGCTTAGATGATATAAACAAATGCACTTGTGTTCTCAACAGGACTGTAGAGTCGGAATCAGGGATAGGCAGATTTTTGGGTAAAAGGTAATTTGTTCGCTGATTGTTCCAGCGAGTGTATAGTAGATCTTAGACGACTGTAAAAGTGTTTTGGAGCTGTCTTGATCAATATTGGTAAATAAAGTGTGTTTCGATACTTCATCAAGTAGTATTGTCCTTATTCACTCCAAATCCTCACGAACCCCATATGAACATGAAGACAGAAAATATATAACAACTGCTGTCAGAAGTGGGATTTGCGAGTGAATGCCAGTGACCCGCCGCCAGCAGAGGAAAGCCATCGCGGAGGAGATGAAGAGTTTGATGGACATTTTAGCTGAGATAAAAGGCGGATATGATGAGATAAAAGCTGGATATAAAGAGATAACAGCCGAGATCAAAGCCGGACTGAAAGAGATGAAAGCCGGACTGGAGGAGAAGAAAACCCGACGAGCAGAAATAAATATCAGCCAAGAAAAGGTATGACATCAACTCCGACAGGTGTAAGGGGAGCTTACAGAAGAAACTGGAGCCATAAAAGATGATGTGGAAATGAGAGAAGTGGCATCTCGAGAAAAGGATGAAGAAATGAAGGAAGTAGCTAATGAACTGCCTGAGAAAGATCAAGAAATGATGCATGAAATATCTAACGAGATTAAAGAAAGAGAACAAAAAGATGGAAGAAAAAGACAGGAAAGATGCTTCTCATCCTTCAGGTGTCCGAAGTTGAACTGAAGAAAGTGACAATATTGTTTGTAAAGATGAAGAAATAAACGAAGTGGCTTGTAAAGCTTCTGAAAAAGGTGAAGAAATAATTCATGTACATAAAGTTCCCGATTCTCAAATGCTTGAAGTAAAGATGGAAGAACGCGAAAATGCGACAATAAAGTTGGTAGAAACTGATAGTTAAGTTATGAAGTCGCAATTAACGAGTATTGAACCATCTGAAAAGGCACGTGATGGAGAGATGAGAGAAGTTGATGTGCAGCTTAAGCAGTGTGCTCCAGTATTGCAATTCACCCACTCCACAAACTGAGTGTGTCTCTCCTAATACAGATTATGCAGACACGGACTTGATTTTAAGACAGGATACTTGCGTTTGTAAAGTATTGGGCTCCGTTCATGATTCTGATGCAGAATTTGGAGCTTGTTCGCAGGAAACGGAGGAAAGTGAACATGTACCAGTGGCTGAAAATACCAAGGTAAACTGTATACATGATGGGAATGAACTATAGAGTGGTGAAGAAACTGTTTCACATCTTCCTGTGGATGAAAAGTCTGAAAGGACAGAATCATCAGACTGTGATATGCAAAACACAAATGCATCTGAGAACTGCAGGTGGAAAAGTATTTGACCTGGGTATAACTTAATGAAAAGACCGAGACTGAAATTCATTCAGAACTTTAATTTGTATTATTTAAAATTATTATGCGTTTAATTTGTGTATATAACTTGTACATAGTGTAAATATTTTTTTTTAAATATTATTTGTATGTTTTCAAGCGGTTTGATTGTATCAAATTTGGCTTCTGAACAAGGGTTGTACTGCCCGGAACATGCAGTCCTTGGGAGGGGGCAGTGTTACGAAATGTCAAGGCACGGTGAGATGGCTTCCCCGCAAAGCAGTTTTAGGGTTGCCACATTTGGCACGAAATCGTTCATCTGGCGACATGCCATCCATACTTCTGGAACAAATTCTTACTGGTTTAGCCCAGAATGTTCTCGAGCCAAAAGCTATATAAACCCAGCTTATATGCGGAGAGTGGGTTAGTATCGAGTTAGTGCCGCCTCGTCTAGAATACGATATAGTGAGTCTCGAGTTAGTCAGTTCGTGCGGAGTCGATCGAGTTGACAGCCGAGCAACGAATGCAGAGTGGGTCGTCGAATGCATCGCGAGTTGTAGCGCGGAGAGTCTCGAGAGTATGTGGAGTTCCGAGAACGACTAAGCAGTGTCGGGAGCTGTACTCTGGCACTTTGCAATGAAGCTGTCTCCACCGTTACTGCCTGACAGTGTAAAGGCTGTGTCGCTGATTGTTCCAGCGACGACTGTAAAAGTGTTTTGGAGCTGTCCTATCAATATAGGTAAATAAATAAAGTGTGTTTTGATACATCAAGTAGTATTGTCATTATGCACTCAAAATCCATATGAACCCCATACAAACGTGCAGGAAGGAAATAACGTAACAATATATATGAGGGAGCCATAATCTAAAATTTTAGCAGGTGTCAGTCATTCTCCCTACCGGCTTTACAGCTCTGGTTCTCAACGCTGAGTTTTTTTTTTTTTTTTTTTTTTTGGGGGGGGGGGGTAGCCATGTGATGGAAAACAACATATTTGTTACACCTAAATGGCAAATAAAAAAGAAAAAAAAATGTCTTTCTGGTGAGTACTCCACTCATAATGCCCCAAAAACTGGAACAAAAAATTTAATTTATGCAAATTCTCCCTCAACGTTAAGCTTAGTAGTATGAATTGCTTGCCTCCACAAGTCATGAGACAGCGATTCAGTAACTGAGGTGCCTGTTGTGAACGATTTAAAATTTAGAAAAGGCATCTACATTTTCAAGAATAAATTAGAACAATTTCATGAATTGCAAGGATTAATCCTAAACAGCAAGTTAAACAAAAGCTAGCATAAATACTTAATTAAACAGGCGTACTATGAAATATAAAACAAATTCAATTAATAACATGGAGCTAAATTTAGTAAATTTTATTTTATATCTAAATTAATGGAATATATAAATTTAATACATAATTTATGTCATCTCTTACAGACATGAAAAATTAAATTTAATCAATTAGGCATCTTGAAGTAAAATATACAGCCTCTTTTCCTGGTGTGTGACTTTCAAAGGTTAATTTTTGTTTTCTGCAAATCTCTATGGTTCAGAAATGCTCAGAAACCAAGACTGGTAGATTTAAGAGGTTAAACTTGTATTATTCATTTAATGTAGAAATATATTTATCACACCAACGCCCGATTTTGATTAATTAATAATAAAGTAGTGCGTAAATTTTTCTTTAAATTTAGACAATTTTTAAAGGCAGAATAAAATTTCTAGGTACCAAATAAAAATGTTAAAAAACACTATGCCATGGATATGAAATTTTCTAACAGTTTTTTGAGAAGGGGGGGGCAGGTATCTAGGATTGAGAATTTACTCACCTTTTTCAGCAAATGTTGCCCAGCAGCTGCACATGGTATAGATGAATCCAACTTTCTTTTCACAGAAATATTTTTTACCTTCTGAGGTTTCTGAAGTTCACCAAAAAATGTTTCTGATTTTACTGGTGTAGCAGCCTGCAGCTCCACTGGATAAACAGACTGTAGATGCGGTGGGCATAAAGTATTTCGTCTCTGCAATTCTTCCATTCGCTTATCAGTGACATCAGATATTATTCCAGATTCTTCACAAGTTTTTCTATGAATTTCAGCTATATTACTATGATTTAAGAATTCTTCTTCATCATCAGCATAAAGGTAAACACTCCCTTCAAGAAAATAATAATAAAAATAAATAAATATTTTAAAATAATAAAATTATTAATATACTAAAGGAAGCGGTCAGAGACAAAATACACATTTTCTAATTATGAAACAATACTGGAGAGCTTGAATCTAATCTCGAAGCTATGTATGTCTGTAGAAAAGAAAATCAATATTGGATAAAAGCTGTAATTTAGATACACCGTTTAGAGATTATTGTCAAGACAAACTGTAATACATCATTAGAATTCTGTTATATAATATGATGATATAAAAGAAGAAGATTACTAGTTTACTGATTTTCATGCAGAGATGTAAAAACCAAGTAACTTGTATGAAAATGATTTAAGAATGGGTAAATCTACTTTTCTAATGTACAGCAGTTATGTATATTTAGTGAAATTAAACAATAAAGGTAATAACAACAAGCAATGCAATTTAATTTACAAGTATATCAAGCATGAATTTTTATTGAAATTCAGCTCTTGCAATGAGCACTTATATATTAGCTTATTTATATTGGTGTGTAAGGCATTCAGTTTCGTAAAAACTGAATCATGATCTTATGCAAATAAACCAAATTGCTATGCTAGCCAAATTGTCAATAATTATTGCTATATACTAATTAGCATAAGCAATTTGCAAATTGCTTACTCATAGATGTAATGAATTTTTAAAAAAAATCAGGCCAAAGAGCCAATATAGTAATTGAATAAAAAATACCAGAAAATGGCCAATATTAAATTTTATGCTCGAGCTCTCAAATAATTTCCTATAATTTATAGTTAATGGTTTAAGATATTCTCAATTTATACTGTAATCTAGTCCATTTAACATATTGCCAATTCATGGTTCAACCTATTACCAAATAATAGTTCAGACAAAGGAACAAATAATGGTTCAACTTATTACCAAATAATGGCTCAGCCAAAGCACCAAATTATGGTACAACCTATTACCACGTAATGGTTCAGCCAAAGCACCAAATAATGGTTCAATGTTTCACAATCTTTTGGCTGCAACTTTTTCAGTACCATAATTTAGTGAAACATTGAACCAAATTTTTAACAGTGTAAATAATATTGTACTAAAATGCATAAATATGAGGGTGTCGGGGGACAGTTACTCGAGCGATATCAATTTTACTGCAGAAATTGCTTTTCATTCAAAACTGAATTAGCTAAAATGCTTAATCGGAACGAGTTCTTTGGTTCTCTGCATTGGTTCTTATTCATGGAAATATTTGGACCAGATTGAATTGCCGGTTTGGCATCGCCTTATTGCTTGAGTAAAGGACGAAACACCTTCGTATTTATTTCTTAATCATTGTTCATTGAATGGGAGTTGGTTTGTTCCGCTTAAAAAGTCAGGTAATTTCGATCAATGGCAATAATTACTTGCTTTTAATATATACCTTATGCAATTGAACTTGTGTTATTCATGATTTAATTCAAGTCCTCGTTAAACATTTTTAACTTTTTCAAATTACTTCAAAACATCTTTCGAATATAACTTACCAGTATGGATTCACTCTTTTAAAATAATTCTACTTTAATTAATCTTAGGAGATAATATAATCAATATTATTTAGTATATATTCTTATCTAAATAAAATCTGCATGTTTTGCTAACGTAGTTCATCTAACTCATATTTGCAACCAGTCAAAATACTTTCAGCAGTTTTGCAAATTTACTTGAGCCATAATAGAATAAAATAATGAACAATTTCTCGAATTCGAGAATAAAGAAAAGCCACCAAATTATGCAAAAGTATAATTTGAAGGGCTTCCTTTACTTCTGAAAGGACTTGGTGAACCATTCAGCATTTTTTCATGAATAATCTGACTTCTTCAAAAAAGAACAGTAACTCATTTAAAACCAAAAAAATTACATCTAAAATTCATTCTACTTACCGGCCTAATAATAATAATAATAGTATATTATAGGGAAGGGCAAAATTTTCAGTTCGCAGGCCAAAAATCGGGGAGGGAAAAAAAATAAAAAGTTTGGCGGGCCAGGATAAATTTTTATCAGATTAAAAAAAAATTATACATGTATTACAATTTAAATATGTTCATGAGATGAATGAAATTGCGATTTCATTTTTAGAAGTTCCTTAAATTGGAGTTAGAAGTGAGATGTACTGATTCTAAGGAATGAGGCTAAATGCTCATCTGTCAGTCTACTTCTGAAATACAGTCAAAAGTCGTTAATCCGAACTCGTCGGGACTTCGGTGATTCCGGATTATAGATCATCAGTTTAAATCTGGTAAGATGACATGCAGAAATTATAAAATTAAAAATATTAAACCGTAATTTATGAAATAAAGAATAATTATGATCTAAAGGGTATCAAAATTTACAAAAAAAAAAAAAAAAAAAAAAAAAAGAACTTAATATTCTATAAACAGACATAATTTCTTGTTCAGTTACAAACTTCAGCTGTTCAAGTCCTATAATTGCTGTGTTGAGAATACCGACTAATTTATCAATTGAAATTTTTTCATTTTCAATAACCTCTGTGTCACTTTCTTCACTATTGGAAGCGAATTATAATGATGAGGAATTTAATTTAAATCATATCAAAGACGGAGTACATCGAGATGAAATACTACATTTAGTAAGGAATTATAAGCCAAATAAAATAAAAACATCTGCCCTTAAGATAAGGACAGTGATGACAGATCAACTTCCAATTCATTGCGTGCTGCATTATCAGCCTGATAATTTTTTATAGACTTTCTGCATTTTGTTTTCTTTCATATTCGGACATTGCTTCGTAATTGGAATTTCTGTGCTGATGTGAAATGACAGGAAATGTTATATTTTTTGAAGACTGCTACAGCTTCATTGCAGATGAGACACACTGGTTTATCTTTTAAAACTGTAAAAAATATTTCCAGGTCCATTCAACATTAAAAGCAAGGCATTCTGAATTAACTTTAGGTATTTAGTAGACATTTCGGGTATACTTTTAATAATTTTACCACTGTTTGCAAAGATGCTATGTTCGCAATCTTTCCGTACACAATCAGTAATATTAGAACTCGCACCAAAAGGAAAAGCCACTGGCTGGAGCTTAAAATGCGCAGTCTGCCACATGTGAGGTCCAATTCGCCTATATTGGATTCCCATATGTCTGCTCCCTGAGAAAGAGATGACGCTTGCTGGCGACAATCTACAGCTATAACACACAAAGAACTTCCGCTTTTAACATTTTTACCGATTAAAAGCTGTCTGTGCTTGGTATTTCTGTTGATTTATGTTTTGTAGAACAAAAATAGAGAAAGTAAAAAGATCATCAGTCCTTTGAAAAAAAGTAATATTTAAACAAAGCAGAAAAGAAGATGAATATATAAATAATATATTTCTTTTAATTTGCTTCGGACCATCAAATAAAAATTCTATTTGTGGCCGGATTTGTCCTCCGGGCCGTAGTTTGCCCATCCATGTTATATTATATATTTTACCCTTTGAGCATTATGAACGGCTTTATCTGGTCATTAGAAGTTTTGCTACTTGGCATATATTAGCTTATAATTTAAGATATTTTGCTTACTTTCTTTGATAATGTAAATATCATCTTAATGAATGTACGTTTATGAAAATACAGACTAAAATACACGGCTGGCCACCCAAATTGCAACACCAAGAAAGACAAGAGATATTACAACAAAAATGTTGATCAAGTATCAAATGATTAAATTTATAAACTTCTGTAAAGTGTGGTTCCTTCCAGAATCAGTAGCCAGAGTAGTCGCCATTGTTATAGATCACTGCTGCCACACGCCTCGGCATTGATTCAAAGAGACTTTGAATGTGTTCTTGGGGTACAGCAGACCAAGCAGCTTCCACACGTTGCCAAAGTTGATCTGGTGCAGCAGCTTGGGATGTAATCTGGGTCAATCGTTCAGCAACCATGGACCACATGTTTTCTATTGGTGAAAGACCCGGAGAGCGAGCTGGCTAGGGAAGCAATTCAATCTGGTAATTGACGAAGAACCCTTGGACAATGCACATGTGGTTGTGCATTATCCTGTTGAAATATGGGCTGTGGGCAAGCCCTGAAGGTAAGGAAGGACAACTGGCTCCAACACCTCGGAGATGTAGTGCTGGCTGTTTAAAGTACTGGCAATGCGTATTAGAGGAGTGTGAGAGTAATATCCAATACTGCCCAATAACCATAATACCCGATGCAGGACCAGTGTGGCGGTGCATAACGCAGCTGTTCAGCATCCTCTCTCCAAGGTGTCTCCTGACTCGAATCTGACAATCATGGTGTTGCAGACAGAAGCGTGACTCGTCAGTAAAGACAATTTCATTCCATTCTACTGTCTACATCCTTCTTTTATTGCACCATTGGCAGTGGAAACGTCTGTTATTCTGCGTCAAGGGTAGACGAAGCAATGGACATCTTGCGGACAGACCACTTTGCTGTAAACGGTATCGAATGGTATGCACCGACACTGGATGATGCGTTACAGACTGAATGTGCTGTGCTATGGCTCAAATGTGACTGAGCAATCCATCACTGCCATGCGCACAATGTTCCTGTCATCACATGAAGTGGTGCACTGAGGTGAATGCGATCGAACACGTTGGTCCGTCGTACCCTCCTGCATCCAATGGTCATATATCTGCATTACAGTTTTTTGGTTTTGTCCAACACGACTACCGATTTGCCTGAAAGATAATCCACGCTCTCGATACGCCACTATCCTTCCTCTGTCAAACTCGGATACTTGATCAAACGATGATCCACAAGAAAACCATAACTTTCGACCTTGAAATCATCGAAAACTCCAAGCCTTAAACAGCACTTTGAAGTGGTGCCACAGGCACGCGTGATTTGCGTCTGCGTTGAAATTCTAATCATTTGCATATCTCAACTCTGCTAATGCATGTTGTAAATTTCATGTTATTTGCATGGTTTCTTCAGGGTGTTGCACTTACGGTGGCCAACAGTGTAAATAATTTATTAAATACTGGTCTTCATGACAGATCTAAAATTCTGTGCTGCTCAGAGGGTTAACTGAAGTAATTTAATTGAAGATACTTAAAATCCAATTAAAACAGCCTGTTTCATACAAAAGAAATGAATAACTTTCAGAGTCTATATTTCTAGTCTTGTTATACATCTAACAAGACAAAATTTGTGTGGGGGGGAATTCAATGATTTGTGGGTTCAGCCACAATTTTTGGCAAATGGCTGATTGACAAAAGGCTCCATGATTAAAGGAACGAAGAGGGGGGATTAAGTATTTTACTCTATTATCATGATTTTATAAGGAACAATAATCACAAATGAAGAAACTTCATGACATGATTAACATCTGATGGAGAAAAAGTTCTCAGCAAAGAAACTGTAGAATATAAAAATATATTTACCATGTAAGCTCTTATTGAAGATAGCACCAGATACTGAACTTTCATTGGCATATTGTTTTTCATGAACAATTGTTTTCACACTAGAAAGAGGGAAAAAAAAAAAGATTAACTGGAAATATTAAAGATGTTACAAAATCATGAAATGAATTTCATAAATAGGTTAGTGAAGTAACTGTAACTACACAAGGGCTATCTACATCTTGGAGAAGTTTCTCGAGAGAAGTTGCCAAATTTACATTTAACACAGGAAAATAACCAAGCTATATCAGCTTCCACTGGTTGGAGGGGTAATGTATAGTCCATAAAATTTCTTAAATTTTACAAATGCAATATATATTGTAGTTTATTCGCAACTGCAGATTTTTCACAAAAATGCGATTACGACTTTAAAGGGGGAGGGACACACCTTAATTTTTTAATGGGAAAAAAGTGCATTTTTGATTTAAATATATTTAAAATCCTTCAAGGATATCTCAGCGGAAGAACATAAGAACTATTATTGTAGGATTGAGGCTTAGAGGCATAATTATCATGTCACTACTCCTCCAAATGTATGATATAAACATCACTTCTCCATAGCAGTTCATGTCCTAAAAGCAAATAGCTTTGCTCCCCTTGCTTAAACTGGTTTAACTGATACTAAAAATGTAAATTAAAATTATACAATAAAATTCCTTCACTAATATATCAGGCAAAGATTTTAATGATAATCTCCAGAGTACTAAAATATTATGAGTAATAAAAATTAAAATTTTAAAACAGTACAAATTCAAATCTTCTCCAGCTAAACATACAGAAGATACCCTTGGGAATATATGTAAGTATTTAAATTCTTCTTATTGCACTTTTTTTTATCGTTGAATAGTGTGTATTATTTTACTTATTTATTTATTTGGTTGTTGGTTTATTGGTGATAAGATTTATTTTATGAGGGTAATGCAGAAAGTAAGTTTCCCATGGCCCATAAAAAGAAACAAAACATAATTACCTGGAAAGATTTATTGCAAAAGACAGCAATATTTCAGCTACTTTTTAATACAAAAACCACCTGAAATATAACAGTTGTCATACCATGGTATAAGTTTTTGTAGTCCAGTGTCATAGGTGTCTGCTGCAATGTGTCACAATTGTTTGTATGTCTTTGTGGGAAAGTGATGCCCATCTTCAGGTGCAAGAACACATAGAAGTCGCTCCGAGCAAGATTGGGACTATACTGTGGATGATCAAACACTTCCCAGGTAAGCTTCTGCAGCTGATTTTTTGTGGAATTGCAAGTGTTGTCGTAGAGAAACACAACACCAGGACTGAGCAGCCTCTTATTCTGAATCGCTCATCACAAATTCTCTAGTGTTGTGCACTAATATTTAGCATTCAACATGGCACTCTTCAGCAAGAAGTCAAAGTGCAAGAATGCCTTTCCTGTTTAAGAAGACAGTACACATAAATTTCTGTTTGGGCTTAAATTTAGCCCACACAGAGACCCACTGTGACACCACAGCATCAACTGCTGCTTGGTTTCTCTGTGAAGAGGGCAACTCACATCTTATCACATATAACAATCCTTTTGAGGTACTCACTGCCTTCATTACAGTACCATTGTAGAAAATTCACTGCTTTCTTATGCTTTTTGTTTGTTGTTTGGTGGTAAGGTTCTTCGCCCCCCCCCAACCTGGCACAAAATTTTGGGAATAACAGGTAGTCTCACAACGATTTCATGATATCCAGGGGAAATGGCTACCGAGTTCTATAACAATAAAGCAATGATTCTGCAGAATGCACTGTCGCACCTGCCCCACTAGACCATCATTGATGAGGGATCACGCTGTTTGTTATGGACATTTTACCAACCTTTGCAAATATCCTTACACCAACGATGAACAATCTACTTGCTCATCACATCAGCATCAACTGCTGCTTGGTTTCTGCGAAATGAGCAACCCACATCTAATCATGTACAACAATCCTCTTGAGGTACTCATTGCCTTCATTACAATACCAGTATAGAAAATTCACTGCTGCTCCTATGCATTTTGTTTGTTGTTTGGTGGTAAGGTTCTTCGCCCCCCCCCCCCCCTGGCACAAAATTTTGGGAATATCAGGTAGTCTCACAACGATTTCATGATATCCAGGGGAAATGGCTACCGAGTTCTATAACAATAAAGCAATGATTCTGCAGAATGCACTGTCGCACCTGCCCCACTAGACCATCATTGATGCGGGATCGCGCTGTTTGTTATGGACATTTTACCAACCTTTGCAAATATCCTGACACCAACGATGAACAATCTACTTGCTCATCACATCAGCATCAACTGCTGCTTGGTTTCTGCGAAATGAGCAACCCACATCTAATCATGTATAACAATCCTCTTGAGGTACTCATCGCCTTCATTGCAGTACCACTGTAGAAAATTCACTGCTGCTCCTATGCATTTTGTTTGTTGTTTGGTGGTAAGGTTCTCTGGCCTCGACCTGACACAAAATTTTGGGAATAACAGGTGGTTCACAACAATTTCACGATAGCCATGGGAAGCAGATACCGAGTTTTATAACAATAAAGCGACGATTCTGCAGAACACACTGCCGCACCTGCCCCACTAGACCATCATTGATGAGAGATAGCTCTGTTCGTCATGGACATTTGTCAACCTTTGGAAATATCCTGACACCAACGATGAACCATCTACTTGCTTATCACATACGGCCCAAACACTAAACACAATTGATGATGGATTTTGATTGATGCTATCTTTTGTGTGTTAAAAAATTTTACCATGGACCACACCTTGCAAAGGAAATAAAAGGAGACATCTTTGCACTCTATGACAACATTATGTTAGCGATCGGGAAATTATAACTGCTGTACACAACAGCTACATTTAGAAATTACCCAGCTTGTGCCTTCGTGTCTTTATTCCTTTTGCAGCACTATCTTTTGGTAATGTGCAAAACATGCTTTTTGGAGGGCCCTCGTATGCTTAAATCAAATTTGTGACTTACAGAGAATCGTAAATATTTGAATTCTGAGTCCAACAATTTTAAAATTGTAAAACAAATTCACACTGAATGCACGATAAAGGAAAGTATTTTCTTAATGAACATTAGTGACAATTCATGTCACTAAGTTGGTGATATTCAACAGTTTTTCAGAAGATTTGGAAATTACAAATTTGAAATTTACAAATTTGAAGCCCTATAAGAATTTGGGAGACAGTTCTCAATCAGCTGTGAAATTTAACAGTTAGCTGATTTGCGATTTAGGCACTTAATAATATTTTGTGTATGTTCAGGAGGAATTATTTAATATCTGCATACTTTTTTAGATCTACAGCTATTTTACTCTGCTGGGTATCGCCAACATTCATTATAAGTTGTTAATTTCTTCCTGATTATATGAAGCGATTATTTAAAGAGATATCAACAAAATCATAGCCTGCAACTCGTTGGATCTCTCCAAATGCCCCAAACCAGAAAGATGGAAGAGCAGCTGAAAGCTATTACAGAAATTACTGTTACCAGCTGGGAAGAAACAGAGCTGATTTCTGCTGAAATGAACTCTATCACAGTGAAAGAAGGATATTACTGCTACAGTTAAAGGAGAAATGGTGAATGCTGTGAACAAAGTAACCACCTCAAGAGAGAAACTTGAGAAATATATAAATAATGTTAATGATGAAATTTCAGCAGTAAACAAGAGACTGCAGAAAGAAATTCTAAGATTAGAAGCTAAATTTCTATATCCAGCTTTATGTAGAAACAATATCCCACCTCATCTTGTTTGAACTACATCCTGGTTTAATTATCTCCTTCTGAGATTAATCTCTCACCATATGATAGGAAATTAGCATGGAAAATATACAAAATAAAATCTGAAATGATTCTGCAGGCAAATCAGTGGGACTTCATTATCAAAGCTCGAAATTTAGCTGCATCTTGCTTATATTGCACAGATGATCCCAGCTGAAAAATGTTGTGATGTTCAGCATTAGTTTAGTTCTAGAACTGCGGTCTGGAGAAATATTTCACAAGGCTTACTACCGACTAGAACAGTACTCCCCAACCTTTTTTGTGCTTTGCCCCACCTAATCCTCTCTAAAATTCTAATGCTTCCCCTAGCATATACATAATTTTTAATATTAAAAAATTGAAATATTCACAAAAGAAACTTGAATGATAGGTTTTAGGAAAAAATCACTAGGAAATTTTGTGAGCAAGCACAGTAAGTAAACTTTCAAAACATATAATGGAAAACTGAGATACAAGTAGAAAATAATTTTAGTGAGTTTTTTCCTACATTATTTTAAAGATTAGTGATTACTAATTATTTAAATTTAGTGAGATCCTAGCACTTCATGCTCGCTGTAAAGAGATTTTGTGTCAGGCTCCAATTTAATTAATTTCAGTCTCAAGTTTCCCTGGTTTATTATATCAAATGTTTTCTTTTTTTAGCATCATTTATGACACTAAATCTGCGTTCAGCTAAATATAAAGATGGAAACAGTAACAAAAGTTCTCTCGCACATTTTGTTGGATTTGGATATTTGATTTCGGTTTCCTCACAAAGCCATGCCATTGCCCCTTTTATATTAAATAAAGTTTTAATAGGCTCATCATTTTGCACTTCTGTGAGCTCCTCTTGATACTGCACATTTGAAATATCAGCCAAATCCACTAACATTGGCTGCATCATCCAAGTTAGGAAATCAAATTGTTTCAAATCACAAAATCTTTCTTTTAAATCAGCCGTTAAAATTTTAAGATGATTGGAAAATTTATAGCGTTATCAGTCAATTCATATTTTTGGAGCCAATGAAACTTTTCAAAATTCTATTGTAAATATATGCCCGACATAATTTAATAAAGGCAGTGAAACCAAACATCTTCGCTTTTGCATCGACAAGAGTTTCATTTGCTCCTTGAAGTTGTTTATTTAACTAATTTATGCCGGAGGTTTAATTTTTCAGAAATATGCATGAAATTAATTTTACTAACATATTAAAAATATGTTAGCTAAAAAAATATAAGAAACAAGAATTTAAAGACCAAACATTAATTTCTCAACCCATTTTATAGTTAGTTA